TTATTGCACCTAAGATATTTGCCAGTCTTTGGCCAACTACTGTAAAATGAGGTAACTTTGACCACTTTTTTTTTTCAAAATGATGACATTTTTTTACTAGATAAGTTAAACTTAAATTGGAACATGCAAAATACAGGTCTATACTCTAGCTTTACTCACCATAAATTGCTGGCTCCTGCCTCTCATAGTTTTGATGTAATTTCAAAAAAAGTGATGGTCTTTGTTACTCCAGCTCTTGGGGTTTCTTTGACCGGGTGGTAAAATCAATTTTATTTTTTGGTAAAATAACTCCAAATAACTCCAGGTTGTGGTGCATTGTAGTAGAACTCTTCTAGTTATGTATGCAAAAGACAAATTTTAGGAAAGTCTCATAGTTTGCAAATGGGGGGGGCCACCCCCCAATGGGCAAAATGTGACCACCTAATGGCAGCCTTGATGGGGTAACATTGACCGGTTTGGAAATTAAGTTAAAATTACCATATATTAAGACTCTGTAGAGTCTGAAACATAAAGAAAAAACATTAATAGGTGTATCAAACATAAAATATGTTATATAGGTACCTATGGTAATTTTAACTTAATTTCCAAGCCAGTCAATGGTACCCCATCATGGCTGCCATTAGGTGGTCAAAGTTCCCCCATTGGGGGGCAGCGCCTCCCATTTGCAAACTATGACACTTTCCTAAAATTTGTCTTTTGCATATGTAACTAGAAGAGTTCTACTACAATGCATCAAAACCAAAAAATAAAAAAAATTGTAGGGGGTACTCTTGACAGGCTTAAAATAATAGCTCTTTTTCGTGGGTCACATTATTAATTTTTTAACCTATTAGATATGCAAACTTTTTAGATCTTTCTATTGTGTTACGTAGCCTCAGTATTAGGCCTTTGACGGCCATTGACCAAATATTTCTATGTCAAATCGTTTTTGAGTTTTGGGGTTTTTTGTTAAAAAAAACGAAAAGTGGTCAAAGTTACCCTGCCGGTCAAAGTAACCCCATTTTACGGTATATAGAAAATAATTTAAAATCTAAAAGACCGCAAGCTGCGGATGCAGTGAATAACGAGACCTCTAATAATTCTAGTACTGAGCAACAGTTGCTAGGACGTAGGGTTCACAATAGCTTTGTTGATATGAGCACAGGGTCATCTCTTGGCGATCTGGGCTGCAAGTATGGAAAATGTCTAACTTTCGGCCTTGACTAGAGCTTTCCCACCATTCCTGCAACCACAAGATTTCTGGCAGATGAATTTCTTCTTTATCCCTGGCAAACCACTCCATACCCAAAAGAAACTCTGGCATGCACACACTTGCCAAGCTTGGAGAGTAGACCAGCAAAGTATCATAGATACAGGCAGTATTGTATATATAAATATTGAATTAAAGTTTTGAAGTTAAAATAAACCATAATTAAAATACCTCCTTTACAATATACTTAAAGTACTTGATGTAAAACAGGCCTAACTGGAAAATTGGGTAGAAGTAGTTCATAAATCAGATATGTTGTTAATCTGGCCAATTTTACTCATTTCCATGGCCTTTCCCAAATTTTTTAGTAAAATATAAGCAGAACAGCCTATTTTTTCATGCAATCCTTTAACACGTTGGCGGCAATGTGCGCCATATATGTACACGCTGTACTTCTCAGAATTGCGATGTGTACCCATGTGGTACATGCCTATGAAAAATATTTTTATAAAATCTTATTACTCTTTCAAATTTAAAATTTCAATGATACAATTCAATAGACATGTTAGGGAATGCTTTGAAGTCAACTACTGCTTAGAGAAATAGTCTTATTTTCAAATGCAAGTAATACAAAAACTACAAAATTTGTGTCCAGTTTGAAAGCAACATTTATATCTATCTTTGCATGAAAACAAAAAAAAATATATTTTTGTATTGATCTGAAACTACATCATTGGGTGTTGCCAGCATCATTATATAGCATACGTGATTGAAAAACAATTATCGCACATGTTTGGTTTTCCCTCACAGTCATCAAAATATTTTTTTAACCTTCAAGTTTCACCTTTGCTATGGCACTTCCCTCATTTGCTGAGAGCATGTTGTAGCATTCATGGCAGCGCATCCTGATTTTAGTTCTAGTTGGTTCAATGAAAGTGGGCTGTCCTCTTTCCCACTCAATAATTTGAGATCTACATCCTGATTTTACTCTCTCTGAGATGCTGCTTGTAACAGAAGCTCAAGACAATATATACGATGAATGATCTCTATAAGGTAAATATAACTGAACTAAGAATGTAAATACCCTCAACTTTATTCAGGATTATGAAAACCTGGACACCAATCTCTTTCCATAGTAATTTCCATGCATAATATACATTGTTCACAAAAAGCTAAGAGATACCAGTAGTCATAATGTGTGCAATTATGACTCAAAACTAATATAGATTACTTGCACGCATCACTCACAGTAATAAAAGTGATAACTTTAGGCTTATTTCCGCAATATGAGCCATAGATGCACGTCTTTGCTTGGTACACATCGCCCACAGCATTAGAAGTGATTACGATAGGCGGCATGAGCCAATATGAGCCACAACAGGCATGGCATCACTTGGTACACATCGCCAGGAATAATGATGACTTTCAACCCTGAGCGATGTGCACCAAATACGGCCACAAATTTTGCGCAACACAATGACAGAACATGCCCCTGCAAAGCTGCACACAAGTTTGAACCTATCTCCCGTACAACATTCGGGCCAAATCAGCAATCGCGGCCAACAGCAATCGCGGCCAACGTGTTAAAGTCACCTGTGAAGAAATTGTTTTTTTGCTCACGATTTTAGAAATACAATTTTCCAAATTGGGGAACAGGTATGGAATCCTTTCTAGGAACTATGCAGAGCTGGAAGACACCTTTGAATGAGACAAAATGCAATCAATTTTACTTACTTCCATGGTCCTTATCTAATTTTTTTATAAAAAATTGAAAATGGCATATTTAAATTAAAGTTTTTGAAAATTGCTTGTAAATAGCTTTTACCTGAATTTTTTTTTTTAATTCCTCTCAATATTCCTTCCAGATTGACATGGAATTTATGTGCCTTTATTCCAAAACTAAAGCTTTCCTGCCATTCTAGGAACTGGAAGATGGGTACCTACCATATAATTGTTAAAAAAAGTGCTCACTAAGACTGCATGATTCCAAATTCATTAAAAATGTTATTTTGATGCAATTAAATTTTATTAATCAGTAAGAAAAAGCCTATCTAGATTTTCTTTGACAGGTTGCTTCTGCCCAAATTTCCAGCTCGGCTAAAAATTTCCTATTATGTATGCAAATTTTTAATGAACGCTTTTAATTACAACTTACATAATGCAAGAAATAGTTAAAGTTATTGAAAAATGATTAGCTGAATTAAATTAATTTCCAAATACATAATTGGACATTATTGCATCTTTACAAAATTAAAATTGAAAATTTATTCTTTTTTAAAAACCAATTACATGCATGGTATACTATATAAAATTCTTACTGATTACTGAAATCCAGGGTTGGCGATTTTTTTGATTTTTTTAAAAAAATCAAAAAAATCAAAAATCAATGATTTTTTTGATTTTTTCATGATTTTTTTGATTTATTTGATTTTTTTGATTTTTTCAACTTTTTTGTTAAAACATTGTTGAAAATGAAGCATTGGGAGACATGTGGTTCCAGCAGGATGGGGCTACAGCTCACACAGCCCGAATGTCACTCAATGTTTTGAAATGCATGTTCCCAGACTCTGAGGGGTGATTTCCAGTGGCCTGCGAGGTCACCTGATATGAGCATTTGCGATTTCTTTCTTTGAGGACATCTAAAAGAAAGGAGTTCAGAAGTCGCCCCCACACCCTACCACAGCTAAAGGAACGGATTATTGCAGCAGAGGTTATGGCCATACCTCGCCATATGTGTGAACGTGCTATAGAAAACTTCCGAAAACGACCCCAACAGTGTGATGCAGCTAACAAACCCCATCTTCCTGATATTGTTTTCAAAACATAAGTATTTTAAATGGTATGTTATGATAATCTTGAGGAAAAAAAACTTTCTTCTTTATGTACCTACATTACTCTTTTATTTTGCCTCAAAACTGTTCAATCAGTTCTGCCCCACCCTGTATAAGCTAGCTAACACATTTAAAGTGTATATTGTAATCAATATATAACAAATAGTCAAATAGTTAAAGACTACTTATAGGTAGCCTTATAAGAATTAGCTAAGCTGCTAGCTATGTACAATGTATTGTACACTTGATGCCTCTGTACCAAAAACATTCAATTTATTGGAACCTAATACACACTAAAGGCAACAAGTTTATGTACCAATTTGTCATTCATAGTACATTTATACTAAGCCATGAATAACAATACCTCAATATAAATTAAAGACTGCCGCTCAATATATTTAAATATATGAAAAAATCAAAAAAATCGAAAAAATCAAAAAAATCATGATTTTTTTATAAAAAAATCAAGTGATTTAATCACATGATTTAATCATTTTGATTTAATCATTGCCAACCCTGCTGAAATCTGATGGCTCCTAAGTTGGAATTTTTCAATTTATTTCGAATTTCAGTGCTTGATTGTGCCCTTATGTTAACAATTAGATCTCATAGTTCTTATATTCAGGGCATTTATGAATTATGCTTGTAAATTTTTCATTATTATTATAATTAAATTCATTATTATTACCTAATTAATTATTATTTGCTGGTAAATTTCTAATAGTATCTACTGCATATTCATTGTGTCCTGACCTTATAATGCCTATTATTTAATAATGGTTAGCAAATTGAAGGTAGATAGAAAATTGAGTGCTGAAAAAAAATTTATCATGTCTTAGCTCTCAAAATGAAATAGCTCTATATTATGTTTGTAAGGAAAAGTTCTGATCTTGGAGAGATCTAAAGCCTGCTTTTATGCTATTTTATGCTAGGACTGTATGTTTTCAAACATGATACTGACATGAATATTTATGATTCAGGTCAATATAAACCTATCCAAAGACATGGCTAAGAACAAAATCAATAAGAAGGCTGCTGCTGCCACTGCAGAATCCCCTGCAAAACCTGTGAAGGAGTCTCCTGCCCCCAAGAAATCCAAGAAGAAGGCAGCTGCTGAGAACAAATCTCAGGAGAGGAAACCTAAGCAGGTCAAGGAAGCAAAACCTAAGGAAGTTAACAAGGCAGTCAAACGGAAGCAGCCTCAGGGTGAAACTGATGACAAATCACCAGCCAAGGTAAATTTTTAATTTACTTGAAGATAAGTTTATAAATGGTGCAATCTTAAAATAACTGTATAACTTGTCAATTGAAGCATGTTCCTTATATGATTGTTGAAAATGTACATGAAAATATTGTTTTTCATTTTTCATTCTTGAACTTGGTATTTTATTAACTATGCCACTTCGTGCACCCAGAATTTGGGAAATGAAAGAAATAAAAATTTTATGCTTATTTCTCAACTTGCAAAACTTGAAAATGTTTTATTAATATTTGATTGAATACCATAGCTTTAAAATGGAAATTTTTTTATTACATACTTGGCTACTTATGTATATTACATAATAAACCCTAAGTAAAATGCATTCAACATGTGATATTGCCTCAACTAAGTCATGACTTTAATTATTATGTTATGGAAATATCAGGAGCTGACTCTTTTCTATGTTATATTTTCAAAATCTCAATCATTAAAAACAATAACTTCATACAAACATCAATATTTCTCTTTTTTCTTGTGTTTTATTTTTCTATTTCTTACAATTTTCCATTACAGAAAGCCAAGAAGGAACCTCTTAAGTTTGACTTTGAAATTTTTGCAGCAAAGCTCCCCAAAAAGACAGATAAGGAGGCTGTTAAGAAATATTTTTCAAAGTTTGGAGAAATATTACAAGTAACTGTACCGTGGAACGTACACAAAAAAATCAACAGGCGTTACTGCTTCGTTGCATTCAAGAATGAAAATGATTTCAAGAAGGCTTTGAAGGACACACATGTGGTAAGAAATATTTCTTAATTTTTGAGTAACCATATATTGTGATCATGTGCCAAGTTACTATTACCTGTGAAATTTATTTGTTAACTCAGTGGCTCTGAATTTCTGTTCAACGGTTTGGAATTTAGTCTTACCTTGGGTGAAATTTTTGCAAAGTTTGGTGGCAAGTAATCTAAAATTTTGGGAATTTGAAAAAATATTTAAATTCCTTTATTTGACTGAAATTTTTGCAGAAGTTTGATGGTGGATAAACTAAAGATTTTTGTATGCAGTTGATGAATAATAATGTTTTAATCAAACCTCAATCTCTTTGTCATAGATTGATGGCGCCACGCTGGCTGTTCAGGACGCCAAGGTGAGCAATTTTTGGATTATATTTGCATTCTAAAATTGTTGAACTTGATAATGTTGGTGCCTTTGGAGCTTTATTAATAAAAGAATAGCAATTTTTTTATTTTATGACAAAAATTAAATAAAAGTACTCTAATAAATATTGTTCTGTTTTGTTCTTTCTATGACGCCTCAATTGTATCGCTGATATACATTTTAAAATTAGCTACCTATATTCGTTAAAGAGAATCTATATGTTGACAGATATATTCTTGCTCTGCCCATTTGTTAATTTTATTTGCAATATCTTTGCAACAGAGCAGAAAAGCCGCACCAAAGGAAGACAAGGCACAGAAGAACGGTGAAAAGAAGGTAAAGAAACCGAAGAAGAAAGAGGAGGAAGAGCAAGTAGATGAAGAAGAGGGTGATGAAGATGAGGAGGAGGAGAATGATGATGAAGATGAGGATGATGAGGAGGAGGATGATGAATAGAAGGATGATAATACATCGATAGCATGATCTCGTTTAAATTTGGACGCGTAAAATCAAATTGACAGGACGAGTTTTTTTTCTCCTTTTCCTTTTTTATATTTTCTAGTTGACACTATGACATTATAACTGCTTGTGCTCCAGAATGACGGAGGATAAATGGAGCTGCAAAAAATAGTAGGGTACACGGCAATAGCCTTAATCAGTTTGTTAATATGCCATATCTTGCCAGACTTGATGTACATTTATTTTCTTGTTATGTGTATGACTAAGCTGCCTGTGGACCTGAAACTCTTGGTCACATTGCCTTGAAATTTCCATCTGAAATGTGCCCTGAAACCCATGTCGCACATATATTAATATTTTTTTGCGTGAGGAGCAAGGCATCTCACGGGTTCTTGCACTGGTGAATTTAACTGAATACTACAAGCGATGGTATTTCTGTCGGTGCTTCCAAGTTGGGTACGTTAGTGGTTAACAGGTGTTGCAGACCACAGAAATGCTTCTGATATTTACGAAATGTAAACCACGTTATAACTTATGAGCCATCGTTATTATCGCACTTCAGCCATTTTCAAACTGAAGTGCGGCGGCGAATACAAAATCTTTCGACCCCGCAAAATTTATTGGATATACATCACACCCGGATCCAGTTCTATGGCAGATTACCCGAGTTTACGTGGTATAAAGCGAATCAATTGATCTATTTTATAGACTGTTGCGTGTATTTAAACTGAAGGCTCTACAAATTTATCATTTTACGTGAAAGAATAAGTAATTTGCATTTAATCGGGGGCATAAAACCAACTAATAATTAGGTATTTGATAATATATCTATTTAAATATTATGTTTGAACATAACTTATGAAGATTTAAATTTTGCTTTGGCTGACAATGAATTCATTACAATGCTTGTGGGGAATGATGTGAGGAACCATTTCATATGTCTTACGACTGGACTGCGGAGCACGGGTTACATTCTTATGTTGAAACATTAGGTATTAGTCGTATTACATATCGATTAAAATGAATATTCATTATCCAAGACTGAGTCGTCAGTACTGGGAGGCCGTATAGGGCATTGATCGCTGACTATGCTTTTCAAAGGTGCACATAAAACAAACACTTTTTCAGAAAAATTCTTGACGCAAGTCGAAAGCAAACTTTGAGAATTTAGAAATCAACAATTATTATCTAAATCGGTGTTATACCTATCAGCTCAGGGATAATCAATAGACTAATTTTTTCGAAAAACTAATTCTTTTCAATTTTGTGCGACAGGCCAGGGTAACTAAAGATTCTCTTGACCAACCACCTTAATTTGAATTATTTCGTTATGAATGCTATTACATCGCTTTGCAGTTAGATGTCCTAAATTAGAGTGTTATGGGTAGCAGAATATTATTTCTAGTATAGGGCAAATAGGAAGATTATCGTTTTGTACTCCAAATTCGAGAAAGAATAGCACTTTGAAGATAATTGGCGTCTATCAAACCGGACTTCTCGGACAAATTTTCGGCCGGACCCGCGGCCGGTCTCGAGGCCGCCGGACTAAAAACATCGAAAAAACCTAGCCAATCAACGAAAACCTCGCAGGTTAGGTCCAGTTAGGAACAGGTTCCATTAAAAACACAAAAAAAAACATAAAAAACACAAAGAAAACCTTTCGGCCGCGGGTCCGGCCGTAAATTTGTCCGAGACCTATCAACCGGTCGGACACTTCAGCGGACTGGCATGCGGACTCGAATCAAAACCTAACTTGACGTTCAACTCACCCAGCCATAAATCCATAAATAATGAAAGGATTTTATTCAAATTCGAAATATAAGTAGATAACATTTGTAATTTGTGGACGGAATTTTTTCAAATTTTTACATCAATAACTTTTTTATTAATACGGTAAACCTAACTTCATTTTCAACTCACCCAGCCATAAATCCATAAATAATGAACTGATTTTATTCAAATTTGAACTATAAGTAGATAACATCTGTAATTTATGGAAGGGATTTTTTCAAATTTTTACATCAATTACTCTTTTCTAATGCCACAAAATACTGAAACTTGACCTGACTAGGACCTAACCTGCGAGGTGAACGTGAAGTTAGGTTTTCCGTATTAATGAAAAAGTTATTGATGTAAAAATTTGAAAAAATCCCATCCACAAATTACAGATGTTATCTACTTATAGTTCAAATTTGAATAAAATCAGTTCATTATTTATGGATTTATGGCTGGGTGAGTTGAAAATGAAGTTAGGTTTACCGTATTAATAAAAAAGTAGTTGATGTAAAATTCTGAAATGAATCTCTCCACAAATTATTAATATTATCTACTCATATTTTGGAGTTGAGTTCTGGCAGTGATCGAGGACGCACGTAGTGTTTGCGGGTCCCAACTTTCTCACTTTTTACTATGCCGGTTTGACTTATCTCGCGAATTTTGTACCGAAACGATTTCAGTGATAGGTTCAATTTTAGTGCAGTTCAATCAAAATTGTGCGAATAGTGAAAAAAACGGCTAGTACAAGTGTTTTATTCCCGACAAATTCTAGTGCGTGAAACGATTATGAACAAGGCACGAAATGGAAAAGAATCGGCGACAGGCCACATCAGGCCTACACTTCAGAGCCGACATCACTATGTTATGTTATGTTATATTTCAAATTTGAAAGGAATCCGTTCAGTATTTATGAATTTATGACTGGGTAAGTTGAAAATGAAGTCATGGTTCCGTATTTATAAAAAAGTAGTTGATGTGAAATTCTGAAATAAATCTGTCCACAAATTACTAATATTATCTATTTATCTTTCCAATTTGAAAGAAATCCGTTCGGTATTTATGAATTTATGAATGGGTAAGTTGAAAATGAAGTCATGTTTTCCGTATTAATATAAAAGTATTCGATGTAAAAATCTGAAATAAATCTGTCCGCAAATTACTAATATTATCTACTTATATTTCAAATTTGAGAGAAATCCGTTTGGTATTTATGGATTTATGACTGGGTAAGTTGAAGGCGAAGTTAGGTTTGCCTCTTGAGCTCGCGCTTGAGTTCGCTAAAGTGTCGATTCGGTCGTCTATCAACTAAATTAAGTTCAACGGATCATCTATTTGCCATGCTCCAAAAAAACGCATAATTAATTTACTATACATATATGTTTGAAAAAATATAAAGTTTTTTGTACAATATATGTTATGCAAATAGTGGTTATATAATGTTTGCGGCCTGCAGTCCTAAAATGTAAACGTCTACTTGAGAGAGATTTTATGGGGCATTAGTTTTTTAAGTAATAAATAATTATTTCTCAATCGTGTAGAATAAATTTTCATGCAACTACTTGCTTCATGAATAACGCTATATTTTATGCATGGTATGAGATCCAGGTTTACAATTGTTTTAAATTTCTTCATTGAAGGTTGAAAATTTCAGAATCGTCTAAATGACAATGACAATCGTCTAAATGGCAATCAAAGCTTGTGTGGTTAGCATTTTTTCGGTGTGCTGGTAACTGGTAAGTGACTAAGGTCACCAGATTGGCCGATCATCTACGGACTACGATGAACTCGCAGCACGTCATGGAAGAAATTTATCAAATCCATCAATCCGTCAGGTTGACCGCCTACTATCTTCGCTTTTTAGCATGGGATAAAAGCAGGAGCTGAGGAATCTGAGAGATGTTGCATGTTTTAGATCCAACGGGCAACGGATTTGCGATTTAAAATGAGTGTTGAGTTTTACTTCAAACGTTCATTTGTAGTACAGGGTGCGGCGCGGGAACTTACTTATTTGAATTGCGCGCCACGTGGCGGCCATTAGTCCTAGGAAGGTGGCGCCATGCGCAATATGGTGCGCGGGCTGTCTCTTATACACATCTATCAGTTCAGTTGCGACCATGCAGTGGTCGAGAGAGGAGCGCGCGTTCGCAGTCTCTGTGTACTTTTCTAGTGGCCGGTCTATCGTTGCAACCCAGCGTGCGTTTAGGAGGCAGTTTAATGTCGCGCCCACTGGTCGTGTTCCTGGTCGTACATCAATCGTTCAGTGGGTGAATACTTTTATGAATACAGGCAGTGTGTGGAAACAAAAACCAGGTCCTTCCAAAACCACTAGGACGCCAGAAAATGTCGAGAGAGTAAGGCAGGCGGTTTTGCAATCACCTAAGCGATCCGCACGAAAACATGCATCTGCGCTTAGAATTTCCGATCGCACAGTTAGGCGAATTCTGCACCAAGACTTAAAATTCCACCCTTACAAACTGGCAGTGGTGCAAAAACTAAATCCACGTGATTTTGTTTCACGACAAAGGGCATGTGAAGCCATCGTTGAAAACTTGCCTAACAACGCACTTGTGTTTTTTAGTGATGAAGCACATTTTCATCTGTCAGGGTGTGTGAATAAGCAAAACATGCGATATTGGAGTGGTGTGAACCCCCGAGAACTTCATGAGAAGCCCCTTCATGCAGAACGAGTGACTGTTTGGTGTGCCTTATCCAGGACTGGCATCATAGGCCCATGGTTTTTTGAAGAGAACGATAGGGCAGTTACAGTCACTTCTGAACGGTACATTCAGATGATTCAAGAGTTTTTCCTTCCAAAACTTGATGAACTTGGTGTAAGAAATGTGTGGTTTCAACAAGATGGGGCCACGGCTCACACAGCACGCGCTTCAATGGCTCTCTTGCGCGAACACTTTCCACAACGCGTGATCTCCTTAAGGGGCGATCTCCAGTGGCCAGCGCGCTCGCCGGACTTAGCCCCCTGCGATTATTTTTTGTGGGGATACTTGAAATCCTTAGTGTACACCAATCGTCCGAGGACCCTAGCTGAACTGAAGAACAACATTCGCGTTGCTATTGCTGACATTGGTCCAGACATGCTTGAGAAGGTGGAGCGAAACTTCCGATCTCGTCTGACAAAATGTATTGAACAGCATGGAGGTCACCTACAAGATGTAATATTCAAGAATTAAACTTGTAAGTAAACCCAACGAAACTTTAAATGTAGCTCTTTGTAAAAAAGAAAGAATTAAAACGCTATCTTTAATACTTTTTACTTTGTGATTTTTTTAAAAGA